GCTACTCAGAAGTGGACACGTTACAATTGTGGTCTTAAAAGTGGTTGGTTGACAAAAGCAAGTCTCTTTCCAATATTATTCCAATACTGCTTTTTAACCAATCCACATTCATTCCTTCTCCAAAGTGAAGATGCTCTCTAAACTCCCCAGTCCGCAGTGAAGCATCCCCTCCACCCTCATGCAGGATTTGCATCTTTAAAAGGGAATAGAAGCATTCAAGTGTCGTGAAAGTTCACAAGAAACCACTACCTACCCCAGGGAGGAGGCAGTTTCCTGAAAGCAGCAATGATGCATGATGTAAGAAGGGCTCTTTCTCCATTTTGTGAGAACCACCACCTATAACAAGCCTCTCCTAAAACCCACCCTTGAATGTCAATTAAAAGCTGTCACCTAAGGCCAGCTTGATCCATGCTACTCGAGAGAGAGCCATAGCTACAGCCACCTCATCAACAGTGCCCAAGTGACCCCTTGACGAATCAGGGCCCAGATCAGCAAAGGAGGACTCTAGAGAGTCTACAAAGGGCTCTGAATGGAAACACTGCGATCCTTTTAGAACATGGGATCTCCTCCCTAATACCCATCACCCAAGAGGCAACCCAAAATATCTACTCAGTCCATTGTCAAGACAGCCCCCCCCCCTCAGAAAGATCTCTAAGGGTTTTTTTGTGACACAGCAGAGGAGCGTAGAGCCAGCCAGGCACTCTGAGAAGAACGCAATCCAGTTTTTAAGAGAAGGTGGGTGGTGTGGTCAGAGAGGCAGAAACCGATTTCAACCAAATCATGACCCCCTGAACAGCTCAAGTGCTGTCAGCCAAACGTCTCCTGCGAGGCGTAGGTCATGTACAGGAAGCCGTCTTCGTCTTTGTACCTCGAGTACACTTCAGACATGGTGGCTGACATGTTAACCATACTGCGGTTATTATCAGCCAGGAAGTAGAAGGCTTGTGTGGAGCCAATGGACATTCTGTTTCTGAGGGAAGAGAGTAAGAAATATCATGTCTTATGCCGCAAAGAGTACATTGTTTTTATTCTGTAATATGCCTGGAGTCTCAGTGAGAAAGGCAGTCTGTAAAATATATAAACCAAGGCTTCTGATCATACAAATTCTCTCACCCCTCCCTGTGTGTAATGAGATATTTCCCTCCCCACAACACCAGACTCTCTTAAATCCCATTAATGTAACTGGAGCTTAAACCAGGTCGCAAATATTTAACCCCCTTGTTTCTACAACCTGCTAGGGCCCTCTGGACATCTCATTTTGTCAGGATAAAATAGTAAAGCCCAAGTAAACACAATCTTCCAAAAGCAAAGCACAGAAATACTTAGGGTTTATGGATACACACACACACACAATTTTAAGTTACCTTTCCAACAATCCCACGTGGCAGGCCGGTGTTCTGTTCATAATAGGATGGGAGCAATGCTCCCTCTAAGCTGTGGAGTCTTGTGAGCAAAAATTCTACTTTGTGAGCTACTGGCATTAAGGTTGTGAGCGAGCAATTTGGCTACTGCTTAAATTAGTTTGCTCTGGAGCCATCCTTCCTGAGCTAAGACAAAAATGTGTGAGCCAGTGGCTAAAAAAACTGAGCTAGCTGACACTAACTCAGCTTAGAAGGAACACTGGATGAGAGAGCTGCAGTTTAGGGGAAACAGCCACTTGGCTAAGACCACCCAATATGTTAACCGCAGAGGAGAGATCTGAGTTGGACCTGAGATGCCTTGACCTGGATAGCCCAGGATAACCCGATCTTGGAAGCTAAGCAGGGTTGAGCCTGGTCACTATTTGGATGGGAGACCACCAAGGAATATTAGTGTCACAACACGGAGGCAGGCAATGGCAAACCAACTCTGAACATCTCTAGCCTTGAAAACCCTACAGGGTTGCCATAAGTCAGCTGTGACTTGACAGCAAAAAAAAGTGGTGCATGTACTCGCTTCTCAGGTCCAAGTCGAATTATAACAATACCGTAAGCCAACAGTGTTTCCCAAAGGGGAGATCTTGAGGTAACTGCTGTGGACTTGCCAAAGCCCAGAGGAAGGAAAAGTGAATCAAGAGGATTTCTCACCAATGAAAGAGGCTTAGGTTTATAGCCTAACCTTGTACTCAGACCTTAGGCGGGCTAAGTGCAGGGTAACAGTGGACAAATGCAAAAGTCAAAACAACTTGCATCATCTAAAAACACCACCCCTGCAGAGCAGGATTAATGCTACAGAAAAACTGATCTTACCGGATAATCGAGACAAACTGGCCCATAGTGAGGTCTTCCGGAACAAGGAATTTGACCTTGTTCATTACCGGCAATATTTTCTCCTTGGGATAGCGCTCCAGGATCACCTACGAAAATAGGAAGAAACATGGAGCTGGCTTGGTAAGGGCAGTGGTCCAAACTCAGCCATACATTGGCTCCAACAGTGGAGCATCACTTGCCTCTAAAATGCTCAAACAAGCAGGGAATGAAAAGAGCCCTCTGTTTGCCCCCACCAGGCCTCACAGGTATATTGTCAGCAAGGACAACATCACTTAAGCCCCCCAACAGTCAGCAATTACCTCCCTATTTGCCTAGCCCTGTGTTTGTACCAATTATTACAACTCAGTTTTAGGTATCAGCATCAGGTACAAACAATGAGTGTCAAGGTAGAGTTGTCAAGCTTCTGGGTGGATTTTACAGTGCCCATCCCTACCTACAGTGTATTCGTAGTATTTCATTTGTCAGATAAAATACCCCAATTCAGTTCAGGTTTGAAGGTGAACAAAACAGAGGAGGAGGGGGAATGAAGGGAACAAGTTCCATTGAAAGCTCTCCTGAAATCATCTAGAGAGCTTAAAATACAAGAGAGGACTTTAAGAAGGGTCACCACCCACATTCTGAAGGGGAACAGTAGCACAGTTCCAGTAAGGAGTGGGGAGAAATACTCCCCACCCAGAATTTTCACACCAATATTTCAGGCACTGTGACTGCATTCTGTATGTGCTCAGGAACCCACTTGCACTCAGGTGGCAGAAAGGAGAGGGTTGGGGGAAGCAGCCATCCAGCTCAACGCAGAGAGCACTCAAGTTCTTGGTTATGCTAATGGCTCTGGCCAAAGCGGGACAATGGTTTACCACCCCATAGTCTACTGGAAGGTGACACCCGAAGGGACAGAGAAGTGAACAGCCAAACTGGTACAATTTATTTTATTCTTCTTGAAGCAGGAGGATCAAAATGACCTCAAAGTAAGATGGACTCCTAGGGTAGACTATAAACGCTCAGGACACAGAACAATCTCTCTTCTATTTGGAGCAGCTCTTCTTCCATTCAGAGCAGCTCCTTGAACGGACACGAGCCATGAAGGACTGAACTTCGACCCAGGGACTCCATCTTGTCCATGCAGCAAGGGACAACAGGCAGGAGACCCAACCATGAGAAGGTAATGACCAACTTTAAACTACTGCACCTTCAAGTAGTACTAGCTTGTCCTACTTAAGCATCATTACAGGGAAGTACTGAACATAGGGAAAGGGGACTGTTCGTTTTCACCTTTTCTTTGTTCCCTTGCTCATCCCGAATGCTTGAACAGGCCACATACATTCTTTCACAAAGGGGTCGGGGGTACAAAGTAATTCAGGGGGGACAGGAAAATTAACAAGATTCCAGGCATCCAGTCTTTAATGTATTTAAGTTTATGGATATAGTCACATTTATACAGAAGTAGAGACCCACTGAATTAACTGTGGTGAACCAGTACATAGGTTACACCTGTGGTCCACAGTATGGTGGCTGTAAGCACCTTGGTGCCTGCCGACACCTTTCTTGGTATCCAGCCAGTGCCTACTGTTCTTATAAAATGGGTGGGACTGTGTGGGGGTTTTCCCAGCAGGGTGTCTAATGGGCCCTTGGAGATCTGATGGACTGTGCAAATTAAAATAATATTGTTTTGCTGCCAAGATAGTGTGGGGTTTTATTCTCTCTGCCTTCTTTTCCTCTGTGTGTGTGTTTGTGTGTGTCTAATTACCCCTTTTCTCCCCTGCACTTAGGCTTCTGATATGTGTGACTCTACCTCCTGAGGAAGCCATTTTGTGGTTGGCTCCATCTCCTGCGGCAGCCATTTTGTGGCTGCTCCCACCACCCTGTGTCAGAACTCTAAAGGTGCCCACAAGCTCAAAAAGGTTGGGGATCCCTGGGCTACACCATTTCCAACTGTGAAATGTGCATGGGGCACCACGTAATTGGATGCTGCTCCATACAGACTCCCAGCACATTAAAAAACAGAGGTCAGGAACAAGGATTCAAGCCCTGGGACGCTAAATTTCTATGTGTGGGGAATTATTGCACATGGAGCAATAGTCATACGAGGAAATCAGCAAGGCTCCCAATCCTGCTATCATTCTGCAAAACGTGCAAAACAGAAAAGAATTCAGGAGGACATTTCTATAAAGGGGCTAGAACAGTATGGAACAGCTGAGGAGGCTGCTTTATACAGGAGAGGACTGAAGCATATTGCAAAGTTCATTGTCTCTATCAACTTCCTTTTATTATGTTTGTAATCCACCTTCCGCATTGTGACATACCATGCCTAGACAATTCTCTCTTTCTTTTCATTGTAGTTGGTGTTTGCGCTCTTACCCAATTCCGTAAGCCTAGTTCTCCTGTGTTGTTTACTGTGGTCCTTGCTCTCTGATTAAACTGCTTTTTAAAAACATTGTAACCCCCCCCCCTCGAGGCTCAATGAGAAAGGTGGTCTATAAATGAAGTAAATAAAAATAAAATGTGACCTCCCACCTGCAGTCCTGAGCGGTATAATTGAAACACGAGTTGACCCCAGTGAGAAAAACACTTCACTAGAGTTTTACTTTGAAGTAAGCACGCAATAAAAGTGTGTATTCAAATAAGCACACTAACTTGAGTTACCAACTTCAATGAAGCAACCCAGTTCGGGAACATGTGCCAGGTTAGTACTACTATAATTCTTAGAAGATATTTTTAAAAAACAGAACACCACATGAGACCAATAGACACTAAGCAAAGAGGGTAAGCACCCTTACAACAGGGGTGAATTTCATTGCATACACGTAGGAGACCTGAAAGGACATTTCATTTTTTTCCTTTTCCTGTCTCCCTTCCATGAAAGCCCCCAGTAGCCTCTCCCTTTTTCTGCTTCCTTCCCCCACCCACCAGCCAACCTACCTTTATCTGCCCCATAGTCAGCTTTCCCACCTGGCAGCCAAGTACTGAATGCCAGACCCAGTTGTGTGGTGGGGAACCTACAACGACTTGCAGGGGACTCCTCATTATCCCGTGCCCTCTTCCCTGCACTATTTCTTCTTTCCCTCCTCCTGGCAACCCTCCATCCTCTCCATTTCCCTGCTTCCTTCTCTCCTTCCCACCCACTAACCTACTTTTTAACTGCCTCCCCATCTTAAGCTACATTACTTACTTCATTTATGTTCCAGTTTTGTCCATAATGGGGACCCAGGGCAACTTATATCATTCTCCTCGCCTCCATCGCATCGTCACAACTATCCTGTACATTAAACTAAGAATGTGTGATTGGCCCATAGGGTCATCAGCTCTGGGTTGAGAAATCCTGGAATATTTTTGGGGTGGAGCCTGGGGATAGCAGGGTTTTGGGAAAGAGATCAGCAGGACATAATGCTGTAGAAACCAGCTTGCAAAGGAGCCGTTTTCTCCAGGGGAGCTGATCTTTACCAGCTAAAGACCAGTTGTAATCCTGAGAGCTCTCCAGGCACCACCTGGAGGATGGCACTCCTATGAACACAGTCACACAGCCAGCTTTCACAGCAGAGCAGGAATTCAAACCTGGGTCTCCCAAGCCTAATCTGAAACTCTTAACTACTACACCACATTGGCTTGGAGAGGGAGCTACTGTCGGAACAGTAGCAAGGAAACAACATTGGGTGAATCATGCAACTGGTGAGGTATCCAGTCACCCAATGGTCTTGCCATTCCTGGAAAGAGCCCTGCCTCCTCCTGATAGATACCAAGGCCTGCAGGTGAGCAATTTCAGATCCTCCCCCCAAAAAAACATGGAGCATTTTCCAGGTTTCTTGGAGAAAACCCCCTGAATTTAAGCATCCACAGATTTGGCCATGTTGGGAACTACATACACAGATAGTAACAGTTCCTCAACAGGGAGTTACTGAGTGGATTGAAGATTTATCCGTACATTGCTACCATCTGTGTATATTAGCACCTTATGTAATTGTCTTTTAACTGTGAATTTTTACTGTACTTATTGGTTTTATTGCATTTTAACTAAGCTGCCTTGAGCCAGTGTTGCACTGGCAAGGCGGGATATAAATTGAAAGTAATAAATAATAAATATTTAGATAATAAATATTTAGGGACAGAGAGCCAGTTTGGTGTAGTGGTTAAGTGCATGGACTCTAATCTGGGAGAACCGGGTTTGATTCCCCACTCCTCCACTTGCACCTGCTGATGTGACCTTGGGTCAGTCACAAGTTCTGGCACAGCTGTCCTTGAAAAAGAGCAGTTTGTGTCAGAGTTCTCTCAGCCCCACCCACCCCACAGGGTGTCTGTTGTGGGGAGGGGAAGGGAAAGGATTTTGTAAGCCGCTCTGAGACTCCAAGTGAAGGGTGGGGTATAAATCCAATCTCCTCCTCCTCTTCTTCTTCTTCAACTGAAATGGGGGGGGGGTGTCCAGTGCACATAGTTAAGCAGAGAAGATTGAAGAAAAAAGTTCCATATAATCGCTGGGTCTTCTACCAACACGTTTAACAGAGCAGCATCTCTGCCCCCTGCTCCCACTCCACATTATTACTCACCACTGCAAAACAGAATACCCCCAAAACCTACATACCGGTCGTTTGTTGGGAAACTTGAGACGAATAGAAGCCACTTCACTCTTCCTACAGGCTAGAACAGAAAAGTAAACTCCCTTCAGAAACAGAAAAGGACTTCATCTTTCAAGTTAGTTCTGTCTTAACAAGCAAAAAAAGAACACAGAAAACATATTAAAGCCCCCAACAATTCACTGCAGCCTCTCTTACCAGCAGGGAGCGCTCCTAGCTGGAAACGACAATTTACAGCACAAAGTTAGGCGCGTTTACACGGGCGGGAAATAGAGTCGGTACTTACCAAAGGGTTTTCTGTTTTTGAATGGAGGGCGCGGGTCCATCTTACGTAGTAAGGTACAGACGGGAAAAAGCCCCCTTTTGGGGGAGAACAGGACAAGAAACAACGAACCTCGATATGCCTTCAGTAACAAATTTATACAAGTTCTTCCTAAACAGCGACAAGGAGAGGCGGCGGTTTAAAAATCACGACCTCCAAGTTGTGTTTCCGGTGGGCGGAGGCAGAGCATACACAGGGAGCGGACTCCCAGGTTTATTTTATAGTCCCCAATTCAATTGATTGGCATGAACATTAACACCTGCAATAAGGAAGCCTTTCTTCACCACCGCATGATTAACGGTTGGAATTCATTGCCGCAATAGGTAATGATGGGTGCTAACAAGTTCTTTCAATGGCTATTGATCACGATAAACACGATCGCCACGTGTTAGTGTATCTCTGCGTTTCTGTTCAGTATTGTAACTAGGAGACTGATCTCCAAATCGGGAGGTCTCTGGTTTGAATTGTCTCGAGGTTTGACTCCCGAGGTGACCTTCGGCACGCTATTTGCTGTCAATCTCTGGAATAGGAGACTGGTAATACTGGCCTACCTCACAGGGGTGTTGTAAGGGACTACATTAAAGTACCATATGTGAATCAACTTGAACATTCAAAAGCACTGCATAAATGCTAAAGGGGAGAAGGAAGAGGTCATGCTACAGAGGATGATGATTGTCTTCTGATCCAGAAAGGAAAATGTAGGCTCTTATGGAGGTCCCATGCATTTAGGGCCCAGGAACTTCCATACTCCGAGGCAGTATACCTGCAGGTGTCTGGCCAGCAAATTGTTAAAAGGCCAGATGGATACTCTTGATATCATGTTGAAAGGAGTTCCTCCGGCCATTTGTGTGCTGTCTGAGAACTATAAACGTACTAAACAAATAGTTGTGAGCTCTGTTAACAGTTCTGCCAGTGTGACACAGGGGTCAGAGTATCAGTTCAGGATCCAGGAGCCCCAGGTTTGAATCTTCACTCTGCTTTGAAAGCTGGCTGGGGGATCCCGGATCAGTCTCTCTCTCTCATAGTCAAACCCACCTCACAGGGTTGTTGTTAGGATAAAATGGAGAGAAGGATGTTGCAAGCTGCCTTGGGTTCTTAGTGGAGAGAAAAATGGGTATAAATAAAGGGCAGGCCCTCAGAGGTTGCCAACTGGCCTAGAGGGACTGGGAACGGGGTAGGGTTGCAAACTGTCCTGTCCCTTTAACAGAGGCTTAAAGGATGCTATTTAGCAGGTGATCTTACTTATCTCTCCTTCATGGGAAGCTTCAGCTGCCCATTTCCACACATTAAACCTCTATTAAAGTGACAGGACATTTTTTTCTCCAGGTCTGTTGGCAACCCTACCTCGTTCCCAGCTGGCGACAGACTTTCTAAGTATGGAGATTCCGTCAGCTACCTTTAGCAAATGACTCCACTTTTGGTTCTTTCTATGATGCTGGGAACGTTTTAATCTTTGAATCAGCCCCTTGAAGATATATATATTTATATTTATTTATTTAAAAACCCACGTTTAGAAAGCGGCTCAAATGAAACGACCCTGGAATGTCAAGGCCATCTGGTTTATTAGCTCGCTCGCTCTGTTTTGTAGGGAATTTCGCTCTTTAAGAATGTTTTGTTTTATCTAGCCTGAGCCAATCAGAAACCGGGGAACTGGGCAGAGGGGGGAAGAGAACCTGTCTCCACGTGACTCTTTCAAACCCGTCCCCTTTGTCTGAAGTGCTGTTTTCTTCTTGCCCAGGCGGAGAGTTGCAGAAGTCGGGGCTCGGAGGCGCCTTTTCCGTACCGGCAACGCGGTCTTCGGCATTGTACGGAATCTGTCGAGGTGCCTCCCCCGGCCCGCTTTTCCTCCGGGTTCTCTTTACGGAGAGTCCTCCAAGGGTAGCTTGCCGGCAGCTGCCTGCGCTCCCCCGAGGCGCATGCAGCCTCCTCTCTCCGAGAGGCAGGAGGTGGGGGGAGCGGACCCCCATCCCGGGAGGGTCATGGCCCGCAGAGCCGTGCCTCCCTCGCTGTGGTCCGGCAACGAGCGGCTCCGCATTGGGGAGCGCCTCCAAGCCAGCCTCGCGGGGCTTTTGGAGCTGGATCTTCTGCGCGAAACGCAAAGGGAGGCGGTGGAGCGCGCCCTGGAGCGCCGCCAGAAAGATGGAGACCGGCAACAGGTGAGGCGGGAGGGGGGGGAGAGAAGAAGGGGGTCGGCGGGCTGGGAGACGCCGCGGCATCAAGCGTGGGCGAGCAGAAGGAAGACAATGGCTAGTGTTCTGGTGAGTTTGGGGTTCTTGCCAGCGGTGCTGGGCTCCGTGGCTCTTGGTCTGATCCAGCAAGGTGGTTTCCTATGATTTCTGGCTCAAAGTACTCAAGATCTCATTACATTGAGTCTCAGTGAGGAAGGCAGATGGACGATAGACGGCTTAATAATCAATAATTGTTTAGGGATCTCCAGGAGGTATCCTTGGGTTGATTATGTTGGAAGCAGGTCAGTGGCTCCTGGGGGATTTTAGCCTTTTCAGTACAGTGTGCCAGGCAAGACTGAGGCCAGCCCACCCTTAGCCTAGAGAGCAGAAAGTGGAGCTGGGGTGGTGTGGTGGAGTGGTTAGTGTCAGACTAGGATTTGTAAAACCCAGATTCAAATCTCCTCTCTGTCCATGGAAGCTTGCTGGGTGACCAGGAGTGAGTCCCATATTATCCGCCTAATTTACCACACAGGGTTGTTGTGAGGATAAAGTGGAGAATGCGAGAATCTTGGGGAAGACCAGTGGGGCATCCATTAAGTGAGTAAAGACTGTGATTTTTTAACAGCGGACCACTGGTTAATCTCACAAAAGCTCATGCTGGAATGAATTTTGTGGTAAAGAGCTATAATGCCATATGTTGTTATGAGTTGGGTAGGATGCCTTGCAGTATAACAAGCAAGAAAAGCAGTCCCTGCCCCAGGGACATTGCAATCAGTGTTCCCTCTAAGCTGAGTTAGTGTGAGCTAGGTCACAGTGTTTTAGCCTCCAGCTCACAGATTTTTGCCTTAGCTCAGGAAGGATGGCTCCAGAGCAAAGTAATTTATGCAGTAGCCAAATCGCTCGCTCACAACTTTAACGTCAGTAGCTCACAAAGTAGAATTTTTGCTCACAAGACTCCACAGCTTAGAGGGAAGCATTGATTACAATCTCACTAGGGTGGTGCTGGGGTGCTTGCAGCAGGAGGGGGAAGATAATGAAGGTAAATAGCAGAAAGAAAATGTCAAAGCAGCAGAACAAAGTCTGAGTCCAGCAGCACCTTTAAGACCAACAAAGTTTTATTCAAGGTATGAGCTTTTTTTGCAGAAGCACACTTTTTCAGATACAGTGAAGTGTGCTTGCAGACAAAAGCTTATACCTTGAACAAAACTTTGTTGGTCTTAAAAGGTGCTACCAGACTCGCACTTTGTTCAGAAAGTGTGTTCATTCTGTAAGTTTTGCTAGGATGGGTTATGTTTGGAAGTGAGATTGTTTAACGCAGGCTAGTCAAGCCTCAACCCTTACAAGACCTTGGGTCTGCATTCTTGGCTGATAAATATAAAATGAAGCAGTGGATGGTGAGGGAGTCTGATTAAAAAAACAACAACAACCCACAACCAACCTAAGTAGATCACACAAGATAAAAATGAGTGAATCCCAGGTTTGGAAGTGTTTAAATGGGTTTTATGTATACGTGTAAGTGAAATGGCAGCAGTAGGTCAATGTGGGGAGAGGAAGAAGGCGCTTCAGAGGGAACTTCCAAGAGGGAGTGGGGAGAGGATCAGTGGGGTGCATCATTCTCCCCCGGATCAATAGGATTTCGGATGAAATGGGAACTAGGGACTCAAGCCAAAAAGAAAAGTCTCTAGGGTGCTGCCGATGAGAGGGAGTGTAAGTGATGAGAGGGAGTGTAAGCGGCAGAATGTGAGGATCAGTGGGGTGCATCATTCTCCCCTGGAGCAATAGGATTTCGGATGAGATGGGATCTAGGGACTCAAGCCAAGAAGAAAAGCCTCTAGGGTGCTGCTGATGAGAGGGAGTGTAAGCGGCAGAATGTGGAGGCTACATAGGAGAAGGGTGATATGGGGTTGTGTGGGGGACTGTGAGAAGTGGGGGTTAGTTTGGGAGTAGAGGGGTCTGGTTTGTAGCAGTGGGGCATGCTGAGCACCTGAGCGAGGAAGGGCTGTGATGAAAACTAGCAAGACGAGACAGGTGTTTGGAGTGGGGGTGGTGGAAGAGGTTGTGAATGCCAACGTGGCAGATGGGTAATTAATGTACGAGACAAGCTTTGGAGAGGGGGGGGATGGTGCGGGAACGAGGCTTTTTGGAGCAGAGCCGTGTCAGAGGGACAGAGAAGGGGGGAATGGGGTTCAGCTGGGATGGTTCTCAATGACATCAGAATGATTCCATCAAATACATGCAAGCTTGTGCCATTCCTGGTTCGTCTGGGATAGCTTTTGCTCACCGGGCTCCACAGCTTAGAGGGAACATGGGCTCCTGCCCCCTAGATTCTGCAGTGGAAGCCTGAAATATGTGTTAGAAGGCACCCAAAAAAGTAAGGAGGCAATTGGCCCTTAGCAGCTGTCTTAGAGGTGCGCCCTTGGAGTTTGTTCGGATTGCTTTGTTTAACAATGCAGCATAACAGAGGCAGCTGGGCTAAGCTTGGGAAAGGATTTGCGGCAGTCACTCACTGCCTGACAAAGAGCCGTATGTTACTCAGAAGCTTGCAGAGATAACCTAGAGTCCAGTGGCATCTCGAAGATGAACCTGTTTTATTCTAGCATAAATTTCTGTAGGACGGGAACAAATCGGGCTGAAGTCTCTGAAAGCTGATGCTAGAATAAAAACTTGTTGGCCTTTCAGGTGTCCCCAGACTCCTGTTTATTCTTGTTGCAGTAGACAAACACAGCTACTCCTCTGGAATTACTACCATTGAAATACTAGTAGTAGTCTTCAAATGTTATTTCTGTTTGGTTCTAAGCAACTTCCATTGAATCAGTAGATTTGTCATGTGGATTTTCCAGCATTAGTTGGATGAAAGAGACATTGCAGGAGTTTATTTGAGATCAACCACGGGAGAAGAAAATGGTGTGTTAGGAATTTGCAAGTGTTTGAGTTGCATAGAATTCGTGTCATCCTGATGAAGTGTCCTGCGTCACCCCTGTGCACAAGAAGCAACTTAGATTGTTCTCAGCATAGGGACTGAAACCCTTTACTGTTAGGTATTACCTGTGTCAGCTTGAGGAAATGCCTGTAATCAGTCCAGAGAGATACCATTTTTGTTACCCATCTGTTTTTACCAATGTTCCCACTAAGCTGTGGAGTCTTGTGAGCAAAAATTCTACTTTGTGAGCTACCGGCATTAAAGTTGTGAGCGAGCGATTTGGCTGCTGCATACATTAGTCTGCTCTGGAGCCCTCCTTCCTGAGCTAGGACAAAAATGTGTGAGCCGGAGGCTAAAAAACTGTGAGCTAGCTCACACTAACTCAGCTTAGAGGGAACACTGGTTTTTACCCCCTGAATCTATCTTGCTGTCAGCTTCAGCCATATCATGTTGGAAGGCTATCCTCTGGCTAAATAATGTGCTCTCTGAGAACGGGAGACTCTGATCCATTTTGGCAGTTGTGAGTACAGAAACAAGGGGGAGGGAGTTCTGGATTAATGAACACAGAATGCTTTTTGGAAAGAGAGGTTGCAGATACCCAGCCATTGCTAGTGGTCACAAAACACACAGACTCCTTTTCATCCTACACTTAAACCTGAATCTCCCTTGGTCTTAGAGAGATACAAGGAAAATTTCTGGCCTTTTTGTCATTTCAGTCAAGAGGCACCATTCCTTCTCTTTTTCTTCCTCACAGAAACCAAGGTGCAACCTGACACCAGCAATACCACTTTCTATCTACTTGCTTAGGAGCATTAAACACAGTAATTCTGGCGAGAACGGGCCTTAAAACTGCGAAAGCCTGAAATATTTTTATTTTTTCCTTCCCTCCCCTCCCTTTCTATTTTGCAATATCCAGCCCGCCGAAGGCGACTGGTGAATTCAAAAAAGCTCGTGTTCTTTTGGTTGATCCTAATAAAAAGTGTGATGTGGATTGTGTTTTGTTTTTAGGATTCTGTTTTTAACAAGAGCCAGGGATGACGTCACCACAGCAGTTTAAAAGGGCACAGGGAAATGCTTTCTTACGCTTGTTGAACTTGGGACTTTACTGCACTCACTCTTGTCAGTGCTGAGCTATGGACCTTCTCCAGTTCTCCAAGAGCCCGAGGCGGAGGCTTTCCCCCAGTCCTGTTATTTGAGCTTCTTTAAAAGAAGATGCTACAGAGGGAACCTGGGGCCTCCTGCGTGCGAAGCATTTGCTCTGCCACTGAGCAATGTGCCTTTCATTCTCCCAGGGCCCCAAGATCCTCGGGGATCAACCTGAGCTTCTGCAGAGTTGATCTTCTCCTGACCCCTTCCCTGGCTTCCACATACCAGGCGCTTATTGGATTGTTTGCATTTCTCAGCCTGGCTGTGTCCAGAGTTTCTTTTGGAAATAACATCTTTTGTACACTCCAATCCACCCGAAGCAGGGAATCTGAGAAGGAAGGCACTCTGGGGAATTCCTTTGGCTTTCCAGGCTGCCGTTTGAAGCTGAGGCCTCTGCAGTTTTCGGCCTGGGAGGCGGAGGCCAGGTTCTTTGCCCCTGTGGCTTGGCGTCTGAGATGTGGGCGTTGGCCAGCCGGTCCCCCATGCGCAGCCAGGGAGAGCAGAGCAAAACAAAACACCTGTTGTTCCTTACGCGCACTTCCTGGTTGGCAGGGCTCCTGCCTTCCACTCGGTCATGGGGGAATGAGCACCTGTCTGACGCGGGCTCTGTACTGTGCGCAAAGTGGTGGTGGTGGGGGAGAGGCACAAGCTCTCAGAGAAGAGAGCCCCTTATCCATGTGCAATGCACTTTCCCCTCGGACATTTTGTTTTTCATACTCTCCAGTCTTCAGGGACCCCTTCTCAGATGGCCTGCTAAGAACCCCACTGATTGTTTGCCTCGAGGCCCATTGCCCATTGCAGAGGATTCTGGGAAGCATTCCACAGTATGACCCAAGCAAGGGCTAATCAGGCCTCGCTGTCTCACTGCAGGAGCTGCGCATAGCAGAGGACGATTGCTAATAATGGACATGCTTTCCTTCTC